TTGTATCTTTTGTTGTTATCGTTATATACCGAAAATCATCGCTTGCGCTAACGATATTATAACGATCCGAAAGCCATTCTAATATGTCTTTCTAACGACATGGCATCGATATAAAATAAGATAGCAATATCGTTATCAAAACGATAAAACTCGGTTCCAAGTAACTCTAAGATTGTTCTATTCAGCCAATCAAAGCTCAGTATTTTTATAATGAGTTTAGGAACGCACAAGTTTCATTTGTTGATTAAAAGAAAAACGAACTAAACTGTAAGTATAATACATATTTTGATGAGATAAAAATATTATTTACAGAAATATGGCAAAAAGACAGGCAAGAGCTACATCTCGACAAATAGAAGTGCTTGTCACGTACTTGAAGCAACATCCACATGTGGCAGGAAAATTTTATACATTGGAGGGCAAGAACACCTTACAAGGAAAGAATTAACAACACATCTAAATTCCTTGACACCTAATGGAAAAGAGAAAGATTTTAAATCTTGGAAGATTGTAAATATGACACACACACACACACACACACACACACATACAGGGTGACCCATTTTAACTTAGGCAGCCAAATAACTCGAAAAATAAGCACACTACGAAAAAATGATTAGAATCAAAATTTCGTCATTTCGAGGGGGACGTACAATGACGTTAAAATCAGCGCCCCCCACCCCTCTCCCTGGGCGGTGAGGGGGGGCAAGTTTGAAATCTTAAATGGAACCCCCTATTTTTCATTGCATATTCTTGTAGCTTATCTCGAGAGCTTTCCAAAACACTATAATTAAGTACCTTTTTATTAAGTACTTTTTGAGTTATAAGGCTTGAAATAATTTCTTAATTTTACATAAACCATAAAATATCTAGTAAACCATTCATTTTTCGATTATCTTACCTTCATACTTTTATGTACAAAATAATGAGAGAAATCAATTGGTGTAAAGAAAACATACAGTTGTTTTTAAGAAAAAATATGGAATTGTTAATTGCAAATTACATATTTTTTCTTAGAAACAACTATGTGTTTTCTTTACACCAATTGATTCCTCCCATTATTTTGTACATAAAAGTATGAAGGTAAGATAATCGAAAAATGAATGGTTTACTAGATATTTTATGGTTTATGTAAAATTAAGAAATTATTTCAAGCCTTATAACTCAAAAAGTACTTAATAAAAAGGTACTTAATTATAGTGTTTTGGAAAGCTCTCGAGATAAGCTACAAGAATATGCAATGAAAAATAGGGGGTTCCATTTAAGATTTCAAACTTGTCCCCCCTCACCGCCCAGGGGGAGGGGTGGGGGGGGCTGATTTTAACGTCATTGTACGTCCCCCTCGAAATGACGAAATTTTGATTGTAACCATTTTTTCGTAGTGTGCTTATTTTTCGAGTTATTTAGCTGCCTAAGTTAAAATGGGTCACCCTGTATATTAAATAATAATGTTTGTCATATTTTAACTCAAACAATTGGGTATTTATTTCAGATATGGAGAGATCTCAAATCGAAAGTATCAGAAATCCTAAAAAATTAAGAAAAGGAAGAGCAGCAACTGGAAATAATCCTGTAAACATAGTATTGTCAGAATTAAACAAAAGGATTTTAGGAATTATTGGACACGAATATGTATAAGGTCTGTCAGATGTCCCAGATAATTTCCCTGAAGAGTATACTGTAAGCTAACAGATTGTATGAAAGTATTGAAAATTAAACATTAAACTTTTTACTTTTAAAAACACTAAACTGTTTACTTTTAAATTAAACATTAAACATTTTACTTTTTTCTTTGTATTGAATAATTTTTACTCTTAAATTTTTAGTTTCAATTTTCAATGCATATTTTGATACACGTTGCATTGTAAGTAACCATATGATTATTCTTTATTGTATAATATTTGTTATGTCCGTGTATTTTTGTAAGATGTATGTTTAAAATATAATACATTAAAAATTATTAGGAGTGCAAATAAGTCTCCGCCATTTGACAAAAGATGACCTCACCAGTAAGTTATGATTGAAATTGTCAGATGTAAAACGTGATATCGTAAGGTTAGACATCTGGCAATGCCATAACCTTGAAATATTAGCGATTTTGTATTAGCATCACATAATTTTTTTCATGCGAAAATGTCGAGTTTTGAGCCGAATAAGCGTCATTTGCGGGAATTTTTGATTTACTTCTTTAATTTGAAGAAATCTGCAGCTGAGGCGCATCAATTGCTTGTAGAAGCATATGGTGAGGCTGCTTTAAATAAGAGAAGTTGTCGTGAGTGGTTTCATAAGTTTAAGAACGGTGAGTTTGACGTCGAAGACAAAGAACGTAGCGGAAGGCCGAAAGTGTACGAAGACGCAGAATGGGAAGCATTATTGAAGAATGATTCGTGCCAAACGCAAGAAGAACTTGCACTTACATTAGGAGTGACTCAACAAGCAATTTCATATCGTTTAAAATCGTTGGGAATGATTCAAAAGCAAGGAAATTGAGTTCCATATGAACTGAAACCGAGAAACGTTGAACGCCGATTTTGCACATGCGAAATGCTGCTTGCCAGGCATAAACGAAAGGGTTTTTTGCATCGTATAGTCACTGGTGATGAAAAATGGATCCACTACGATAATCCAAAGAAGAGAAAATCATGGGGACCATGCTTCAACAGTCAAGCCGAATATTCATGAAAAAAAACTCATGTTGTGTATTTGGTGGGATCAGCTTAGTGTTATATATTAAGAGTTGCTCAAACCGAATGAAATCATTACTGGGCTCTCTACCAAACACAATTGATGAGATTGAGCCAAGCACTCAAGGAAAAACGCGCCCACTACTACTCCAGACACGACAAAATTATTCTCCTGCATGATAATGCTCGTCCACATGTTGCGGCGCCGGTCAAAACCTACTTGGAAACAATTGGGAAGTCCTACCCCACCTGCCGTATTCACCAGACATTGCCCCTTCGGATTATCACTTGTTCCGATCGATGGCACATGGCCTATCTGAGCAGCACTTCACATCATATGAAGATACAAAAAATTGGGTCGATTCGTGGATAGCCTCAAAAGATGAAGAGTTCTTCCAACGCGGTATTCGTATGCTGCCAGAAAAATGGGAAAAAGTAGTGGCTAGCGATGGACAATACTTTGAATAAAACATAAGGTACCGTTCTTTCACAATAAATGCTCAATTTTTGATAAAAAACGGCGGAGACTTATTTGTACTCCTAATATTTTTTATCATATGTACTTTTAGAATGCTGTAGAAACATTGGCTGCAGGAAATGAAGATGTTTTGAAAAATATATCAGTCCCAATAATAATCTCAGAGTTACCAGATGAATCTGGCTAGTAATCTTTTTTTTCCTTTCATTGTTCCTTTTGTTATATCATTACATAAACAAATTATGTTTTGTAATATTTATGTTAGTTAGTTACTTATACACAAATGAAGTTAAGATATTTAAAAATAATATATTTTTTTAATATATTTTTTAATGAATATTTTTTAATGAAAATATACGCAATATTTTTTGATGAAAGAAAATGCAAAAAGAATAAATTTTTTAGGTGGTACAAATAATTTGCAAGACTGTAATTTGGATGACTCACTAAATATACCACGATTTTCACATGAGTCCCACATTTCTTCTCCTTTGCAATCGACAAGCGTACTTTCCAATTATCAATTAAGAAACATACATTCTACTTCGTGTTCAACAAACATACTTTCCAGTTCGCATTTGACGAGCATACCTTCCACTTTGCACTCAACAAACATACCTTCTACTTTGCAATCAACAGGCGCACTTTCCACTTCGTAATCAACAAACATACCTTCTACTTCGCAATCAATAAACATTTTAGAATCAGACATTCTTTCTAATACACAATCCAATGGATAAGACATATCCTCCAGCACACAATCGATTCATACAAGACGTAATTATAATACAAAATTAATATCTGTCTTATATATAAAATCTGCACTTAATATAATACTATTATTTTTGGAATTTACAGGTATATCTTCCACACGTTTAGGAGTGCAGTTACATGAAGTTCGACAATCATTTGAAAAGATTGCAGATAAACATGCAGAAGCAATGCGAGTTGGTATTCTTATTAATAATTACATGAAACATTTAGTTTTTATTTTAATAATATACTTTTTTTATAGATGTTAGCTGAAGCAATGAAACTTCAAGCAGAAGCTCTCGTTCAATTAGGCCAAGTTATTGATAAATTTATAAATAAAGAAACTAGTTGTAACAGAAATATTATTAATAATGAATATTAACAGATTAAGTATTGCATTTAGTTAATATATAGTGTTTCCAGAATCCAAAGATGTCTTTCAAAGAGTTATGTAATGTTTTATGTTTTGTTATTATAAAATGTAAATTATTTTTAATATGTAATATATACATTAAAACTGGAAAATTATAGAAAAGGAGAGACAAAAAAATACATATGTTTTGTTGCCTGATGTTAGTTTTATAAATTTATTTTTTCCATTATTTTATATTCTACAACTTAACGCGTAATGTATGTAAATGAAAAGCGTTTGCTCTATAATGTTTAAACTAATTTAATTTTTATACAATTATGCGATAATACAAATTGATATTTTCACTTATTTTCGTTATCCAATGCAGAACGATAATTAGGAAACCACTCTTGCATTATTTGATTCTGTATACGTTGCGCAACACCTCTGGATCCACTGTGATTCATTACTTCTTCTCTTGCTTCTGCATCTTCAACATATACGTTCTCAGCTGCACATAGAATCTCATTATTTTCTACTTCCATTGGTAGTCGATAATGTTGTCGCATATTATGCAACACTGCGCACGCATTTACAATTTGTCCGGCAATTTCAGGTGCATGCATTAACACACGTTGATATGATAGACATCTCCATGTTCCTTTCAATACTTCAAAAAACCTTTCAACAACATTTCGTGCTTTACACAGTCTTTCATTGTATTGAAATTGTCGACTCCATGGAGGATAGTGAGGTAATGGTGTCATCAACCAGGGTTCCAAAGGATATCCATCATCTCCTATGTATATAAATTCAAATAATATATCAAATAAGACTAAAAAATAAATATCTTAAAAATAAATATCTTAAAAATTAGTTTTAAAAGCAATAAAAAATATAATAAAAACACACTAAAAAATAAATTAAAAATAAATATATATATATTTTTCTTTTTAAAATACCTATTACAAACAAAGTTATAAATCATACCAATCACATAAGTTCTTCTTTCACCATTGTTATAAAAATGTTCCATTATACGTCTAACGGGAGAAGCATTCCATATAAATGCATCATGTCGTGCACCCGGATAACGTGCATTAATATTTAATATTTTTAAGTCTGGATCGACTATCTGTAAAAATGTAATTATATACATATAGGGTCCATTATAAAAGTAATGCGCATTGTCTGAGAAAAATAGATTTATTGATCGTAGCGGTACAAATGCTTAAAATTCTTCAAAATACTCCCCCCCTGAATCAATACACTTGCGGAGACGTGTCTGCCATGCCTGGAAGGCATGCTGAAACTCTTCGACGGGAATGTCTTTTAGGATCCTTGTGACATGCTTATGGATGTTTTCCACGGACTCCCAATGCTTTCCTTTCAGCTCTCTCTTCAGACGGGGAAACAGAAAAAAGTCGCACGAAGCCAAATCGGGACTGTAAGGGGGCTGGGGGACCACCGGTGTGTTGCTTCGGACGAGGTAGTTGGCAACGATGAAGGCCGTGTAGCTGGGGGCATTGTCATGGTGGAGCTTTAACGCGTCTTTGATGTCAGCCCTCACGCGCGCGACCCGGCGTTTCAATCTCTTGAGCACCTCCAGATAGAAGGCTGAGTTGACAGTTTCTCCCTGCGGCACAAACTCAAAATGGACGATTCCTCGGACGTCAAAAAAGACAATGAGCATCGTTTTGATGCGAGACTTGCTCATTCGCGCTTTCTTGTGGCGGGGGGATGATTTTGTGTGCCACTCGCTGCTCTGCCTTTTCGATTCTGGGTCGTACTCGAACATCCAAGATTCGTCTCCGGTTACGACACAGTTAAGAAAGTCCGGCTCATTTTGAATCAAATCCAACAATTCTTGACAGCGCGCAATTCGAAGTTCTTTCTGTTCTTCTGTCAACACTTTCGGCACAAGCTTCGCACAGATTTTGCGCATTTGCAGATTCTCGGTCACTATCCTATGTACCGCAAATGTGGACATGTTTAGGGTGTCAGCGATGTACTAGATGCTCAATCGACGGTCGGAACGTAAAACTTCGCACACACGATTCACGTTTTCGTCGGTTCTGGCCGTTGTTGGGCGTCCAGACCGGGGTTCATCGGCGATCTCCTCCCGGCCCTCTTTGAACGCCTTGTGCCACCTCCCGGACTGTGACCTTGAAATGCAGTCTTCCTTAAACGCCTCTTGAAGCATCTGGAATGTTTCGGTTGCATTCTTTCCAAGCCTCACGCAAAACTTGATGGCGTATCGCTGTTCAAGCGAACTCTGCATCGCACCGTGTTACAAAGACGAAAAACACACTTCACGCGGATGCACGTCTTTCCACTCAGGCTGCTCGGAGCAAACTGACGATCGGCTGCCTTGGAAGGCCACACCCCACACTACATTTCCCGACTCATCTTACCATACTGCGATGGATATTCGCATCACAATAAAATCATGCGCATTACTTTCATAATGGACCCTGTATATTCTATTATCATATTGTTCTTATTATTAACGATAAAGATTATTATTAACAATGCAACACAGAAATAAAAACTGTTATTTATACGTTTTAAGAATTATTAAGTACGTAAATATAATAATGTATAAATTATAATTATGTAGAACAAGATTGTACTTACTGCTTGTACATTTAGTGAATGATTTCCATGATGGTTTACATATGCCTCTTCATGTAAACGTGGAGCGAGAAGATTAATATAAGTGCAGTCTATAACACCAATGGCACTAGGAAATGGTCGACGAGCATTTGCAAATTTGTTTCGTGCAGCAGTTCTCTCTTGTATCATTGGAAATTTTATCCATTGTCGTAATAAATATCTATTTATTAACCATGCTACTTTTCGTACACAACGACTGATGGATGGTTGACTTAAAGCAAACTCACATTGATTTCCTGCTAGTCTTTGGTAACTTCCATTAGCGAAGAATTCGACTGCTACTAATACTGCAATTTCTGGAGCTAAACCATTTCTACGTAATGGTTGTAAATGTGGTCTTAACATATTTGTTAGATCCATAAGTAATTCTTTATTAAGTCTATAAGCTGCCAAAAATTCTCTATTAGGAAGTTTAAAAGGATTTTGTGCATCACGAAGCAATCTTCTTTCAATCTTTCTTTCCATAATTCTGACTCTTTCTTCCAAAAGAAGTAAATTCCATGCTAAATATTCTTCAGCCATATTCCTAAAATTATAAATGCAATGAAAATAATAAATCTATTTTTATAGATTTGCAATATAAACATAGATAGTAATTGTATAAATAGTAACAAAATAAATATATTTTTAGCATATATTTTTATATATGCTAATTGTAAATGCCTGTACAGTCTTGCATAATATGCGACAAGCTAACGAGATAAAACGTAACTAATTTTGTACTTGTAAAGAGTAATAAAATAGAATATATTTTTATATCAGTACTTTTACTTAAAACAAACATACAATTTCACTTGCCACTGATTCACCGTTTTTGTAACTCCTTGTAAAGTATTTAGCTCTGCCGCTAGTTCAGCCCATTTTGTTTGTGCTTCTTCTTTTCCGTGAAGAGCGTTGAATTTTCCTTCCGCTAAACCGCTAAGCCTTCTTTAAGTTGGAAAAATCAATCATTTTGGTTAATTGTAGTTACGACGCCCGTGCCGTTCTTTTTTTTGCTGTAAAAGGAAACTCATTAACATTTCGTTATATGTATATTTTATATTTTTCATATAATAGTTACTTAATCGTGATTTCAGACATTTTTTAATAATTTCTTAAACCCTATAGCAGTTCTATTATTATAAATAAAACAGATATAAACAGATAACAGAAATAGATAAGATACAACAAGTTTCAGTTTTTCGATGTTACAAACACAAATTCTGTAAAGTTACTAGATTTTTACCATATTAAGATATGGCAACGTTGCACGCCTATCAAATAATTTTGATACATTTGTAACGAAATTTGCACCGACTATTATCGTTAAGTCCACGTTACAGAATCATATACCTTAACGACTGTCGATCGCACAAGCAATAATTGTCGTTAGTTAACGATATCGATATTTATCGTTAACGAGTTACAGAATTCCATCCCTGTACTGAACGGCATACAAACAGAGAGTGTCGCTCGCTCTGCCCGCCTGCCTGACCACGGCTTTTTTCTCATTAGGTAGAGATGACGCAATCCCTGGTCACTTGGCTCTGGGCGCAAAGGCCGCTTCGCATGAGCCATTGATATTACTCGGTATCGCACGCTTGCCTCGCTGGTATCCACCTATGCCACGATACCGCGCGTAATATAAACGCCATATAACACAAAGGAACTCTCAAGAGATACTTACAACAAAGTTAATAATCATGGTAGCCAATGATTATTGTTAAAATGTATAAGTAGCTCACATATTTGCAATAGCTAAATGCTATATGTAACTTGATTATACAAATTATTAATGAAATAATAAATTACAATTAAGCAAATATCAACTAGTATCAAATATATAGCAAGGAATTAATAAATATACTGGCTATCGATAGTAACTTCAAATCTAATCATTGGCATCACGATAACAATTCTGATATTACGCATTAGATTGTTTAGTATTGCTACCCAATATGTTGTTTGGAATCTAAAATTTTTATGTAAAACAGGATTATGGACATTAACAAGACATATAATATATATGGGGACGAGGAAGGATTCACTTAAATCTGTAATGGACGATGAGAAACCCTTTGTTGGAACAATACGCCGTGAAAATAGTACGGCTGCATTAAGGACGACAAATTCATCGCTGCAGCACAAGAAGATAGATAGGTCTTATAGATAATCAATACGGAAACTATAATCAGCAACAATATAAGCGATAATTTAGAGCGGCGCAGAATCTTTGTCTTAACCCAGTGAGAAATGGTACCTCGAATCGTCATCGATTCGATATTGATTCTATCAGATCTCATAGATGCGGTTCTGTGAAAATCGATAATTTCAAACATTTCGAGATTATTTCGATGATTATTATGATAACTTTGCAAACAATATCTGTTAGTAGCAGTAGCAATATAATATAATACTTTTTTCAAAATTTTCAATGTTTTCCACGTTTGTCTATCATCAACGATTCGATATCAATTCGATATCGATTCGACTTATGAGATGAAAAAAACTAAATTGTTTCCAAAATCAAAGAAAACTGAAAATTATTGTGTTTTGCATTAACTAAGTATGCGGCCTAATACATATTACAAAAGTTCGTCTATATGGAATTATATTATAGTACTCTCAGATATTTATAAATTTTGAATTAATCTGTGCAATGAGTTATAACCTCTTTGCGGGATTCTCTTCTACTTAATAAAGAACTCTATGAGTTTTGTATAATTATGTAAAATAAAACTCATAGAATTCTTTTATGCGATGATATAGAAAGGTAATTATAGCCAAGCCACTTCGTGTCTTTTTTTTAATAAGTGCATTCGAATTGCCCGCCAATAATCATAGTCCGCACCTTCCAATCACGTGCCAATCATAGGCGTCAAGCGTCAATGCAATCAATCGCTATTTATTTTCGTCCCCTGTCCTATTGTCAGAAAAACTAGGTTCTTTAGTCTCCCTGCCTGTACTCGCGAGGATTAGTTGAGACCTGTTGCCAACTGTTTGCAATAAAACGAAGAGTGAGCACGCTGCCGAGAAAATTCCGCTTTAGAAAATTCAGTATATTTTTTGAATTAGTGGCTTGACACGACGTGGATTTGACACGATGGTAGAAGACGATAGGCCTGTAAGTATCTTTTTCAAAAGCACAACCATTATTCATCTACATTATTTATTGAATCAGCCCGAGTTTAATGATTTATTAATTTTTTTAATAATTTATATATTTTATTTCTTATAAATTAAGTTTTAAAATTTTATTTTACTTAATTTTTTATTTATTTTATAAATTATTTTAATATTTTTTTTATAATAAAACTCAGTGAGAAATGTTAGTCGAATCTACATCAATTCGACATCGATTCGACAAATCATTTGTCGAATCGATGTCGAATCGTTTGAATTGATGTAGATTCGACCAACATTTCTCACTAGGAAATATTTATTTTATATATTAAATATTATTTTTTCTAAATTTTGTCATTAATTTTTTGCATTTTAAATTCTGATTTTTATATCATATTTAGATTAAATAAAATAATAATTATTTATTTTTATTTACTTATTAATTTTTTAAATTTTAAATTATTCTTTTAAAGTGATATGCTTGATAAAAAGGATTATATATTTTTGATAGAATAAATCATACATTTTTATTATAAATATTTTCATTATATTTTTTTATTTATTTATATATATATTATTTTATATTATAACTATATACATCATACTATATACATCAATCAATATTTTATATTATCATTATTATGCCTTATTTATTAAATTTTTTTAAATTATTAAATTATTGAATTATAGAATTATTAAATTATTGAATTATATTTTATTAAAAATTGCGAGTGGTTTTAGATATATAATATGAATAATTGATGAATAAATTTGAAAAAAATAAAATTACAAACAATAAGCATATAAACTATCAAATAATTAATAAAAGCATAAGTGTTCGCGAGTGAACGCGGATTGCTGCGGCAGCGCGAGTTCTTAAGAAAGCGGCAGACGGACGACCACGACAGAATATTTGACGCTAAATAACGGAACACGACGACACGTAATTTTTTTGGTTTTTTTTCAGTTTTATTTTGACACCACACAATTAATAAAGAGTTTTACACACAAAAAAAATACATACAATTATTTTCAGACGCGGAAAATAATTCCGGAATAGAAAAGTCCGAGTGAGCAAGTGGTCGTATACAAGCGGTTGAACTGAGCGGTGAAAGCGAAGCGATTTTAAGCGAAAGTGCGAGACTTTGACTGCGTAGGGTCCACGCGCTGGGCTTATTATATACTTAGCTCGATTTAGGGCCCCGTTGCGACGTGGCCCAATTAATTTCGTAATTTGGCGGTGACTTCAGGGCGCCACGCGTTATTGGCCGATGAGGTCAGTTGTCAAGATTTTTATATTAGTCATGCGCACGATCTTTTTCGATCAGCTGATTGGCGATCAGCTGATCGTGACGTATGGGCGCGCATGCCCATATGTTGCTTAGCTGTTGTCGACGGTTGACAATGTTATTGTCAACTGTCTATAACAAGCGTTTCGTAGGCGCCAAAAAAAATGCGAGACAACGCGAACGGTTGGCTTTTTGTCAATAATAGATTTTTCGAGAAGTTTCTCGACGCCCGTTAATTTTGAATTTTCGGGTTTTATGATAGAACAACGCGGATATTGATTATTCTAATTTTCAGGTCGCGATAATAATTATTAATTTCGAACATCCCGCCCGCCTCGTCATTGCATGACGAAACTGATAAGTGTGTGCGGATGCGGACAGGTGTCGCGTACTGTTCCATTGACGAGCTATTGATCGCGATGTATGAATAGAATGTGACGTAAAGAGTAGACACGTGTTAAACAGTTGTGATAAGTCTTTCGCGAGAATAAGTAGTGCGATGTTTGTGAGATATATAAAGTGATACTGTGAATGATTTTGTGAGTGCAGTGAAAGTTGAGAGTGACAGTGTTTTTTTAAGCAATCGCAAGTGAAGTGTAGTGATGAGTGAATTTTGACGCGGAGTCCGAAGAAAGAAGAGTTAATGAAGCGGCTCGGATGTGATATAAATATGTGATTGACAAATGTGATAGCACGCGGCGCGATTATTGGAGGTAATGCACGACGGCCGTGATAAATATTGTAGAGGACGGACAAGTTAATAATGTAGACGAGAGAAAAAAAAATTCGGAGTTCTTTTCGCTCACGACTCCGGGTGTGTTGGTGATGCGGTGTCGACTCCAGGCAGGAGGACGATTTTCGTCAGGGGCCGGATTAGCTCCGAAGATGCGGTGCGTATCGTGACCACGCGTATTACGCCGTCGTCCCCAGGATGCAGCCTGATGATCCGGGCGAGTGGCCATCTGGTCGGCGGTGTTATTTCCGACCGCACCAAGCACAGGGCGCCACAGTAGGACTGGCTGAGTCCTTCAGCCACTTAGGTCGGGATGCCAAGGAGTTGATGTACTCTCGTGACCACCTCTCCCAAAAGTGGTCACGCATCCGTTGGAGGAGTTTCCAGCGGGGCAGAAGATTGAGGCTGCTGTCCGCCAGTGAGGGCTCGGGTACTGCCAGCAGAGGAGCTCCGATCAGGAAGTGTCCTGGTGTGAGTGCCGTTATGTCCTCGTGATCGTCGGACAGTGCTTGAAGAGGACGCGAGTTGAGGCACGCCTCCACTTGAGCGAGGAACGTCGACATCTCCTCGAAGGTGAGGGTCGTGTCTCCGAGGACCCTTCGCAGATGGTGCTTAGTCGACTTCACTGCCGCCTCCCAAAGCCCGCCGAAGTGAGGTGCTGCCGGTGGATTGAATTTCCACCGGATCCCGTCGGACGCTGCGATGTGAGCGATGCGTCGGCCGTCGGATGACGATGCCTGGAACAGGAGTCGCAGTTCTCGGTCCGCTCCGACAAAATTGGTACCACAGTCGGAGTAGACTTCCTCGCATAGACCCCGACGAGAAGTGAAACGCCGGAATGCAGCGAGGAATGCATCGGTGGAGTAGTCCGACGCTGCTTCCAGATGAACGGCCTTGGTCACGAAGCAGATGAAGACGGCGACGAATCCCTTGTGTGACTTGTGACCTCTTCCTTTGGCGGTTCGGATGAGAATCGGCCCGGCATAGTCAACACCGGTACGTAGGAACGGACGTGCCGGAGCGACTCGTGCCGTCGGAAGGTTGCTCATCATGGGTTGTGGTACTGCGGCCCTCCATCTCGCACATGTGACACATCGATGGATCATTCTCTTGAAGATGGAGCGGCCTCGAGGAATCCAGTATCGCAAGCGAAGCAGACCTAGAATGAGCTGAACCCCGCCGTGAAGCGTTCGTCTGTGGAGTGCCCTGACGAGGAGTTGCGTTATCCATGATTCTGGAGGTCTTACGATGATCGGATGGCGTTCGTCTCTTGAGAGCACAGCGTGCTTCAGCCGACCCCCGACTCGAATGATTCCATGGTCGTCGAGGAAGGGGGTTAATTTAGTTATTGAACTCTTGACCAACATGTGGTTCTGTTTCAGGGCAGCGATCTCCTTGGAAAAGTGATGAGCTTGCACCAAGCGGAGCCAGCGGAGCAAGGCCGCTTCTAGCTCGACGGGCATGAGGTTGAGGTGAGCCTTTGAACTCGGTGGGTTGCCTCGCCAGCGGCAACACCAGGCGGTGACTCTCAGGAGGCGATGGAGATCAGAGAACCTGAGGAGCATCTCTGGTTCGGTTTTCTCCGTGGTCGTCAAGTGGGAGGCGATTGCTTTCGTCTCCGGCACCTCGACGTCGTGTGTGGCGTGGTTGTGTTGTGGCCAGAGCGATGGATCCGTGGTGAGCCATGGAGGTCCTGTCCACCAGAGGGAATGGTTGATCAGATCCCGGGGCTCAATCCCCCGAGAGGCGCAGTCAGCTGGGTTGTCCCGCCCTGGGACGTGTCGCCATCGTGCCTCTGGAAGTTTCGTCTGGATGTGGGACACCCTGTTGGCCACAAAGGTTTTCCACTTCGAGGCGTGTCCTTGGATCCATTGCAGCGTGACCCGGGAGTCCGACCACAGAGTAACTGGAGCTGAAATCAAGCCTAAGGTCTTGCGGAGATGAAAAGTCAGGTTAGTGACCAGGACTGCGGCGCACAATTCTAAGCGCGGTAGAGACACAGGCTTAATAGGCGCAACTTTGCTTTTTGCAGCAAGCAGACTGGTCGTGGTCGAGGAGGCGCTCATCACGCGGAGGTAGACGACGGTTGCGTAACCTCGCTCCGACGCGTCAGCAAACCCGTGGAGCTCGACGTGACTTGGTTGGTTATCGGCATTCAGCCATCGTTCCAACCGGAGCTGTTCCAACAGCGGAAGGTCCTCAAGCAGACGTCTCCACAACGCCTCATCTGATTGCGGCAGTGGGGAGTCCCAATCCAAGTGCTTCATCCAAGCTGACTGGATGAGGATTTTGGCACGAGCGGTGACTGGAGCTAGCCAGCCTAAAGGGTCGAAGATTCGAGCCGTCTCCGACAACGCCTGTCTCTTTGTCAGCGGGGCAGTCGTGCGAGGCTGGAGGCGGAAGGTGAAGGAGTCGCTGCGGGGGTGCCACCGTAGACCAAGCGTCGGATGAGCGTCGTCCTCCCAGTCGTGGTGTGGCTGCTGGAGTTTATAGTCCCTCGGTATCTCCTCGAGGATGCTCTGGTGGTTGGAAGCTCACTTCCTCAAGGGGAACCCGCCCGCCATGCAGAGCCGGCGCAACTGCCCTTGAATTTCGACTGCTTCGGACAGAGTGCTGGCGCCTGTGACGATGTCGTCGACGTAGCAGTCGCGCCGCAAGGCGACTGCTCCCTTGGGGTTTGTCGACTCTTCATCGTCGGCCAATTGACGGAGAGTCCTGATCGCCAGGAACGGTGCACAGGCCAATCCATATGTCACCGTGTTGAGTCGATACTCCTGGACGTCATCAGTGCGTTGTCGTCTCCAAAGGATCCGCTGCAGGTCTCGATCGTCGGGATGTATGAGGATCTGCCAGTACATCTTCTCGATGTCAGCGATGAAGACGAAGCGGTGCCAACGCCAACGAAGAAGGACGTCAGCGAGAGTTGGCAGAAGGTTGGCTTCGACCAGTAGAGTGTTGTTGAGCGAGTCTCCGGCAGGCGTGCATTGGGATCCGTTGAAGACAATTCTCAACTTGGTGGTCGTGCTGGAAGTCCGGAGCACACCGTGATGCGGTAAGTAGCACACGGAATTGTTGATAAGCGATGTTTTGACCAAGGTCATGTGTTGCAGGTCCGTGTACTCCTCCATGAAGTCACGATAGAGCTGGTTGAAGTTGACGTCTTTGGAACGGCGTCGCTCCATTGCTGTGAGAAGTCGCTCGGCGGACTTTCGCGTGTGCTCAAGAGGTGGAAGAGGGCCAGCCAGCGGAAGACGCACCATGTATCTTCCGTCTGCGTGGCGCTCATGAGTGCGAGCGAAGATCTCTTCGCATCGTTCCTCGTCTGGCGTGAGGGCGACGGAGGCAGGCTGTTCTTGCTCTTGCTCCCAGAATCGTTGAACCAGAGCGTTCAAATCGTGGTCGATGGCGCACTGAAAGGAGCTGCGGGAGCCATGGGACGTCACGACTCCGCAGCCTCCCGACAATATCCATCCGAACGTGGTCCTCTGCGCGATGGGTTGATCCTTGCGACCTTTACGAAGACCGTCAAGGAGAATGCTGGAGAAGGCATCGGCGCCGAAGAGAAGGTGGATGGGATCTCACTGCAGGTATTGCGGATCCGCTAAAGTGAATGTGCGGCCACGTGGTGGGACCCTGAATTGCTGGTCCCTGGTAGGAAGACAGCCGCGGAAGGACGTAAGTAGTTACGGTGAGGGGAGCTCCAGTCATCCTTGACTTGAGAGCTAGTGTTACCCTCCCGCGGGTGGATCCTGAGTGGGCTCCTCCGACTCCAATTATGGACATCGAGGAGCGGGTGCGCGCCAGACGGAGGCGCTGCGCTAAGTCCTCTGAGACGAGAGACACCTCGGATCCCTGGTCGAGCAGAGCTCGCACGTCTTGAGGTCGTCCCAGGCGGTCGGTGAGAGTGACGCGCGAGGTGGCGAGAAGAGTCGCCTTTTTATCGAGTGAAATGCGTGTCGTTGAAAAGGTGCTCGCTTCGTGTGGTGTTGGTGTCGTGTACGCGTCGTGCAACAGAGTGTGGTGCCGCGACTTGCACGTGAAACACGTCTTGATGGGTTGACACCATGTGGTTCCCGAGACAGTTGAAACAAAGCCCGCTAACTTCGACGAATGACTTTCTTTCGGTCGCGGATTTGGACTTGAACTCGGGGCACTGCATCAGTGTGTGTTTGCCCTTGCAAGCGGCGCATTTGGACGCGTCGGGCCCGTTCTTCGCAAAGTGAGACTTCGCGCTGGAAGTCCGAGAGGTTTCCTCAGCACTCTTCGCGGCGATCTTGGGTTTCGCGGCGTTCAAGGTAAGAATCCTTTTACTGATAAAGTCCGTGAGTGCCTCGTGAGTCGGTGGATCGGGAGAATCGCTGGTGGAAGATTCCCACTCGAGGCGTGTTCGCGAGTCGAACAATTCGATCACCAAGTGATTGAGGAAATCCATCCCATGGGAATTGATGGGCCTTCCAATGCTCTCTTGCGCGTTGACGGTGGCCGTGACGGCGTGATGGACGCGACTCAGCTCTTCGGCGGACTCGGACTTCATTCTTCCGACGGCGGTGAAGGTGGAGAAATTTAATCGCATGAGTTCTCTTTTGTTTTCAAAATGTTTTGCCAAGATCGCCCACGCGCGGTCGTAATTTTCGCTTGTAACCGTTAATAATCGGATTAATTTTTCCGCAGATCCCTTGACGCAGGAGCGAAGGTAGTGGAACTTCTCAATGTTTGAGGTCGACGGGTTCTCTCCGACGAGAGATAAAAAGAGATCCCGAAAAGAAGGCTAGTCTTCATAGGCACCCGAAAACGGCGGCAACTTTATACGCGGCAACGCGATTTTAGGAGAAGACTCCGACTTCGGCTCGATTGTGTGTGCGACAACTGACTCGGCCTTTAATCTGTCGGCGTAGTCGCTCAACATGCTCCGCTGAGACACGTAAGTACATTCTGCAGTGTCGATAAAATCGTTTTTGGCGTACTCACTCTCCAAGTATCTGTCTTTCAGAGCCGCTCGTATGAGTTCGTGTTGAGCCTCGAATTTCGCCCAGAGGTTGTCGAGGATGGTGTGGCGAGCCTGGATGGCACCGACGGTGATGTTGGTGACTCCCATCTTGCGGAGATTGTCCACGGAGCGAGACATTCGTCCGTGGATGTCGGTTTGAGCCTCTAGCAAGGCCTTCAGATCGGCACTCATTCTAACTAAACTGCTTTTCGTCTGTTCAGGAGATTTGCAGCACTGCACAGCACTGAAAACTTCACTCACGAAGCTGCGGATGCGGATATTCTCCGGCTCGAAGGACCAGAAATGTTCGCGAGTGAACGCGGATTGCTGCGGCAGCGCAGAGTTCTTAAGAAAGCGGCAGATGGACGATCACGACAGAATATTTGACGCTAAATAACGGAACACGACGACACGTAATTTTTTTGGTTTTTTTTCAGTTTTATTTTGACACCACACAATTAATAAAGAGTTTTACACACAAAAAAAATACATACAATTATTTTCAGACGCGGAAAATAATTCCGGAATAGAAAAGTCCGAGTGAGCAAGCGGTCGTATACAAGCGGTTGAACTGAGCGGTGAAAGCGAAGCGATTTTAAGCGAAAGTGCGAGACTTTGACTGCGTAGGGTCCACGCGCTGGGCCTATATTATATACTGAGCTCGATTTAGGGCCCCGTTGCGACGTGGCCCAATTAATTTCGTAATTTGGCGGTGACCTCAGGACGCCACGCGTTATTGGCCGCCGATGAGGTCAGTTGTCAAGATTTTTATATTAGTCATGCGCACGATCTTTTTCGATCAGCTGATTGGCGATCAGCTGATCGTGACGTATGGGCGCGCATGCCCGTATGTTGCTTAGCTGTTGTCGACGGTTGACAATGTTATTGTCAACTGTCTATAACAAGCGTTTCGTAGGCGCCAAAAAAAATGAGAGACAACGCGAACGGTTGGCTTTTTGTCAATAATAGATTTTTCGAGAAGTTTCTCGACGCCCGTTAATTTTGAATTTTCGGGTTTTATGATAGAACAACGCGGATATTGATTATTCTAATTTTCAGGTCGCGATAATAATTATTAATTTCGAACAATAAGCCATCAAATAATTTATGCATAAATCAAAATAATTTATATATACATTAATATTACTTTGTTATTTATTATTTTTTCTATATACAGGGTGAATCATAATGGTAGTAACAACCTTTTATCATTAGAGATCAATTACCGATTGCAACTGTAATCAATTGAATGATTTATAGATGACAACTGCTTGGATCGATCGTGTCTGCAGTAACGTACAAGCGAGTTAAATACAGTGAATGCAATCTCGTCTCTGTGTAAATGCATTTTCTGACATGAAACTTTATTTATAATATTCACGAATACATGTCAGAAAATAAAATGCATTTTTTATTCATTTGAAAGTAATTTTAATAAAATAATGAGAATGTTACGATTAAAATAAGATCAAACACGATATAAGTGACATAAATTTAGTTAAATATATAATTATAAAACTTGTATTATCAGATTAATTAAAAATTATCCGATTTACGCCGTGTTTGATATCATTTTAATCGCAAAAATCTCATGAATTCATTGAAATTATTTTCAAACCGATGGAATTAAAAATAAAAGTTTCAATTTTTATTTTATAAGATGTTACATTTTCGTGAATTGCAAATGAATAGAGAAAGCGAAGAAATCGATTGTAAAAGACTTCGGAACTCTTTGATGATAGGTCATCTCGCTCGCTCTCTACTCCTAGTCTTGTTTTCTCTGTCAAACTTCACAATCGTGATAGACAGCTCGAAAAGATAAGCGAATCCAAGAGAGCGAGCGAGACAGTAATAGATGCGAGCGAGATAATAATAGGAGCGAGCGAGACAATAATAGATGCGAGCGAGACAATAATAAGAGCGAGGGAGACAATAATAGATACGAGCGAGAGAAAAATAATAGTGTGAAAGAAAGATCCGATTCTCGAGCTCGAATCCTCGTTTCTCGTGCTATTTCTATTTCATTCGCTCTTATTGTTATTTCGCTCGTTTTTATTACCTCGCTTCCTCATGTAATTCTTGCATTACTTTTATACATACATACGTCCATACATACACCCACACTCACACCACCCATCCACACATACACACAATACAACACACACACACACACACACACACATATATATATGCGTACAGATTATATATTTTACCGGTTTGTATGTGCGCTCTAGTTATTAATTAAAAAATACTTTTTAAGAAATATTTATCCCAGAGGCGATTCATTCGTGGACTGGTAGTTTTTAGAAATATTTCATACCAGATGCGGTTTGCATGTGCGCTCTGGTTATTAAAATATTTATATTAAATAAAATTCAGAGGCGATCTATTTGTGAGCTGATTATTAAAAAAATCCAGAGGCGATCTAATTCGTGTGCTGGTTTAAGAAAAATCTAGAGGTGATTTAATTCTGATGCTGGCTATTCGAAAAGTATTCCAGAGACGATTTAATTCGTGTGCTGGTTAGTAGGAGAGTATATAGGAGAGTTCTAACCCTGGTCCTCTCAGGGGGGGTGAGGCGCGCGGGAGATTACGGAGGCGCGGGGGAATGACGTCACGCGGGACGGAGGGATTTCGGCGGCGGCGCGTGTTAGATGTTTTATGGTAATATTACATGCCCGGCTGATAAACAGTATTGCGTACGGACATGTTCGGTTTATAAATAATATAAACATCAGCATTTTTGAATTGAGATTATGATCGTATAATAGAGATGTGACATTATCGCCATATCGTCGTAAACGCCTCGTAAAAAGTACGCGCGGTCCCATATATTTATCGAAAGTATATGAAATATTGTGTCGCATGCCCGGTTGATAAACAATATAAACATCTGCATTTCTTTGAAATGCATCGCGTGCGAGAAGAACGAGTGCGAGGGAGAGGGAACGATGGCGCGAGGAGAACGCGTGTGAGAGGGAGAGAGACTTATAACTAGCGCAGGGATGGGAACGCAAGAAGAGGTCTGTAAATAAATACATTTTTTCCAATTAAAAATATAAAATTTAATCCGTTATATTATAGAGTGCCCATAGCTCATCAAAATTTACATAACAATCGTCATTATGATTTCTACTTAGATCTCCATTCAGATTATTTTGTTCTCCATTCTGATCTCCATTCAGATTTCTCATCTCTCCTGAAACATTCTCCTACAAAAAAAAATCACCCAAAAATAATTACTTGAATATTTTAAATTAATTTCGTAATTAT